TATTATCATGAGAGTACGGAGCACAAACAGCCGTAAACCATGAAAATTCAGTCCAGTTTACGGTGCCGTATTACTGCGCCAGGTATTACGGGCAAATACGGTCTATTTACTGCCGTAAATACACCGTTTTGACATCGTTTACCGTCGATAAACAGACCGTAAACGAGTCCGTTTTGATCAATCTGGGAATGACGATAAAAAAACACGAAAAGTGTGCAGAAAGACGGTTTCGCTTTTTTTGATTGGGGATTTTGTGTTCGGCGTTTCTTTGTCGTTGGTTCGATATTCTAATTTGTATTTACCTATATTATTGTTAGTAGCATAGATGAATAAAGGGAATTATCTTATTATGTAGTATACGTTTTTTTTCAATTGAAAGAAATTTGTTGAGAACATTACTTTATTACGAGATCCATGTGCTACTGGCTGTGTATAGTGTGTCGCTCTACTAGTTGAGTCACACGTTGTAGAAAGAAAAATTTTCATGATGCGTTTCATTATATAATAATGTGTAATGATCCGGTCATATGTAAACTAATCGAGAATTAAGGCAGATATTTCATCTAAGGTCACTGTCTTAGTGTGTACCACTATTGTAAACGTTTAATACACAAACGATTATAATGAATGAACGTTGTTGTCCGGATGGTACTCGTCTCGACTGTAGTTCTTGTGTCTGACTACTGAAGTCACCATGTCTCAGAATGTTTATGTTGATTCGTACTCTTAAATCACTTTCTAATGATCAAAAGGTGTGCAATGTTTGCCGACATTTATATGTCAAGTGGGAAAATGAAAATTCAGAATTCTCTTCAGTCCTTGATCATTTCGAACATGATATGGTAATGATCAATGATGATGCGAATAGTGATTTGGTAATTTGTTTTTATATGATTGTATTTGTGTTGATTTTTTGTTTTTAAGTATGAGTTTATGAACGAACTGATGGTTCGCCTCGTTTAACAACCGTGGAAAATCCAACTTTGATTACAATTACAAACTATCAAGTAGTCAAGTTACAGCTAAATGCGACTTCCTCTTCCCATACGTAAGAAAAGCGATTTAATGAAGAATAGAGATATGTAATTTATTTTCACTAGGAAAGAGCAGTCATCCTATTCCGCAATGTTGAACATTCCGGAACCAGTTCCGCCTCCGGAATCAGTTCCGTCGATTCCGGAATTAGACGGAATTCCGTGTAATTTCGTTCAATTCCGATTAATTCCTGTTCGACTTAATTCCCGGAATTCCATACCGGAGTTGCATGGTGTGGGTGTTGCGGTAAGTATGAGTGTCAGTGTGGGTGTTGCGGTAAGTATGAGTGTCAGTGTGGGTGTGGATGTTAGTGTAAGTGTACTGAATTTCGGAACCGTTGGGAATTAGGCGGAATTCGTTTGAATTCCGTGTAATTCCGGAATTGAATCGGAAGGGATAAACGGAATTTCGGGAATTAGATGGAATTGGTGGGCAGTGGTTCCGGGAATTGCGGAATTGTGTTGGAAGTGATAAACGGAATTGCGGGAATTAGATGGCATTGGTTTCGTGAGCGGAACTGGTTCCGGAATGTTCAACATTGCGGAATAGGATGCATTCTCCTAGGAAATGCTGTGTTTGTCGTGAAAATCTTCGTGATCATGCAGTGAAAATTACATCTCAGGATAGAGATTTTATATTTTTTTCACGTAATATTTGGATACCAGAAGGGGCACGATGTTGCTCAAGCCATTTAATTAATCATCTATTATCGAAAGAAGCTGTTGATCAGATTAAACCTTTCTCAATGCGATATCAAGAATTAAGCTCTTCGGATGTTCAACTTCTTTTAAGCAAAGCTCAGAACTTATTTGAAAATGGCAAGAAAAGATTTAATTTCGATGACCCAAGAGATCTTAATGATGATGAATATCGTTTATTAACTAGCCTCTCAAGAGACCACTTTACTGATTTTGTTCAAATCACTTCTTCATCTACTATTCGCCCCTCGTGCAATCGATCGATGAGAACTGCGGTCGGCATTTATTTATGTAAACTTCGTCTTGGTATTTCAAATAGACTATTAGCTTGCATCTTTCAAATAACCGACAAACAGACAGTGTCTCGAAGTATAAATAGTGCGCGTCAAGCTATTGTAAAGAGTTTTGCACCAGATAATTTAGATTTTGGACATGTTACTCGTCAAGATGTTATTGCTCGCCATACCACAACAATTGCTCGAGAACTAATGTGTGCTGGTGACAGTACTGATACAGCAATAATTAGTATTGATGGAACGTATCTTTATAGTCAGGTGAAATAATTGCTTTTTGTAATGAATTTATTTTATGTTGCATTTTAGAAATCTCGAAATAATGAATTTCAAAGAAAGGCTTTTAACTTATATAAGAAAAGATCCTTATTAAAGCCAATGATGATTGTAACAATTACAGGTTATATCGTGACTTGTATCGGACCTTTTATGTCTGATTTTAACAAGGATGACGCTGCGATAATAAAAGATATTTTACTTCGCAGTACCGATAACATTTTAAGTTGGCTGAAAGAAGTAATATTTTTCTAATGAAAATCTTAATATAATTTTCTTCTTTAGCATGACATACTGGTGGTTGGTAGGGAGTTTAGAGACTCTATCAGTGTCATGAAAGCTCTTGGGTTGGAGGCTACTATGCCATCATTCTTCGATGGCAGACGTCAATTTTCAGCCGAAGACGCTAATGAATCAGGATGCATCACAAAAATACGCTGGGTCGTGGAAGCCGCTAAACGTCGTCTCAAACAATTTAAGTACTTTGCGAATCCCATTCAAAACGCGTCCCTAGTGTACTTAGAATCTGATATGTCAATTACTTGCGCTCTCATCAATCATTATCAACCACCTAAGACAAGATCTAAACTGGAAGATGAAGAGATAGGTGTACAAATAATACAATTACGCCAACAAAAAAAAATATAAAATTTAACGCAATTATTTTTAACATTATTTTTTCTGCAACTTGTATCATGTCCTTATTTAGCGCTTAGAAGAAAATAATCTAATCAGGCGGTTTTCTCTATGGTAAATAATTAATCATTCAGAAATCCTAGATGGTTTTTCTATTATGACACAAGACGATCTAGGAGATTTCACTTTCGGTAATAAATTTTCATTTAATTCCTCTCAACTATCTATTTTTATAGGTGTCTTTCAATTGAAACGGGCACGTTCTTATGCTGAAGAGCGTTGCTCAACTACCAACCTAGCCAGTGACGTAGCTTACAGTGTACACCGATTTTAAATTATTCCCATTTTGATCCGTATTCCTACTCAATCCGCACATAGTAATCAAGTTACTTATCATCCAACAATCCATTTTACTGGCCAACCAATTCTAGGCTGGCGGTGCGATTGCTTCACTGGTGCACGATTTCTCGGCGATTGCAGTCATATAACTTCAGCTGTTTGGTTTCTTTCCTATCTACGATGGCAAACACGGCAGCATCATATGCCATCGGGCGAATACAAGAATTTAGCCACAGATTCGATACAAATCTCAGATTTCTATGATTCTTATGATGATGATGATTCACAACGATACTCGTTAACATGCATATTTCAACATTCACTCTTTATAAACACACGTAAAAACGAAACTGTTTTTCAAAAGAATAAACTGCACGTAAAGGGCTTTGACCCAAGCCTAGTCTATATTGCAAAATTAGACAAAAGTTTCAAATTACGTTTGTCTTATAGATGCTAACTACGAGGAATTCCTAAAATTCGGATCAACACAATACTGTATCCCCTTACTTATACTTCCATGTGAGGCGTTGATCATGATTTGATAGATCTCAAAATTCTCTATCGAATGGTATATAAACAAGAGTGAACCGACATTGTTACCTAAGTCTTTCCCGAGAAATATCATCATCAGTATACACTTTTACTAGATTTTTCCTATGATATGCCCGTAGTGTCAAATAGAATTCAGTAGCTTTTCTCATATGTTGACATACTATCAGAGAAAGCGTGAGAAGGGCTACAATCCAATGGGTAAATTAAGATAAGTATGAACTATGATAACTGAAATATTTCATTAAAATGATTGGCTCCCCAAATGAAATACAATGGGTTTTAGTGCAATAGAAAAAGTAATGCAGATGATGCCTAGATTTGATATAATGATTAAATGTGGCTTAAAATGTCGATGTAGCGCCAAAACTAGCATAATGAAAACGAAAAAGTCGTGTTTGGATAGGGGGCCGCTTTCGGCTGTTAACGTCCCCCGTCCTTCGTTAAGTGTTATAAACACGCTCAAGTTGTGTGAAGAGTTGTCTAGCATGAACAAAATCATCATAATAGTAACTTGATACATACCTCTCCTCGAATATATTTAATACTAACAATAAATAGCAAGAAAAGGTACTCCTGATTTTCGTACTTCCTAAGTCAGGCTCTGAATTGTTATGGAATACTGTATGATTACTAATAAGCGATACCCTAGTAGAACTTTTTAATTTATGCGCTTGCAAGACTTAAGCTCCAGATGTGTCGATAGCGCATGGCTTTCTTGATCAAGACAAGTGCTTCAATGTTTGCATGAGTTACAAAAAAAAGTGCAATTATAATTTTTTATTAAAAGTTGAGTTATTGTGAATATAAAATTGAAAAAAAAGTTGAAAAACTTCTTTAATAACAGGAACGCTTAGTTAAAAATTCAAGCGCATGAGTAAGAAGTTTAAGAACTTGAGCTCAATCGAAAGAGTTCATATCTTGCCTCAAGATGTGTTCATAGTTCTTGACTCTCTTGATCAAGAAAGTCAAAAATTGCATGCGCTTGCAAGAAAAAGTTCGACTAGGGTAGTTTTTTGTTTTTATCGTTATCAAAGTCGAAAATTCACGAATCGAAATTGAGTAATAACAAGACCGGGTGAAATCGTTACAACGCTATTATCAGCCATCCTAGGTGGACCAGTATACCATGTGCGAAGGGAAAATATCCAATATAGAGCACCAAAGATAGATATTCCTGTACACACCACAATAGACCAGTTCATATTTGCAGCTGTTACCGGGTAGCTAAATGGAAAAAATAAAATGATACACGTTATAAGCAACCAAGAAGTGCTCACCCAACCAATAACCAACCCGAATTTGCCTAAATTGAATCGACCCTTCTTAAATGTTTTTCTCGATGATGTTATACGAAAGAAGATCGGTATTGCGTAGGAAACTTGAAAACCGATGGTTGATATTGATACAATAGCGGCAAAAGCTGTCGTTGACAATAGCTGTAACAACAATAGTAGTATATTAAGTACAGTCACTACTAGTACACACACCAATGGTGTGTGTGTTCCTTTATGAACAATACACAAGTATTTCTTATAGGGAAACAATGAGTCCCTGCCTAAAGCATAACATGTTCTTGATGAAACCGTCGTTGATGATACTCCAGCAAAATATAAACATATTAATAATAGAATTGTGAATAAAAGAGCAACAGGATTTGGTGTGCTTGTTTGAAAAATTTGTACCGTAGCGCTAGGATTCAATGAATTTTCAGTGACATAGTCAGGACTACCTGCAGCGAACAGCAATGATAACAAATATGCGCAACCGACACATGCAGCGCTGATACATGTGCCAGCTATTGCTTTTGGAGCTTTTATATCTGCTTCATGTGTTTCTTCTGTCAAATGTCCGGCTGCTTCGAAGCCGCTAAAGCTAAATAATGTAGGTAGTATTCCAATCAAGCAGACATATGCGAAGCTAAACCCAGTGCCATTATATGTTGAAATGAATACATCATATGCCGATGAGCGATTTTTGGCTAAAACTAACATAGCGATGATGATAGATATCGTGCTACCCATCTGAATAAATGCTGCAAAATTATTTAGCCAACCTAATCAAATAAAACTTTATTTAACATTGGGTCACTCTCAAGTGAGTCTTATTCTGAAGTTGCCTGCTGGATGTTGTGGGGCACATGCTCTTTTGTTTATACCTGTGACATAAATATTTTCGACATAATCAATCTGCTCGTATATATTGTGTAGCAACAGGAACTGTATTATAGTAAGGGTGTCTCTCATTGTTCGTGGCTGATCTATTCTTATTTGCACAGCTTTGAATGTTATGAAGATTTTGGAATTCTGATGATACAAAATTTGCCTGCCTCGTGAGGATAAGGATGAGCGCGATGGTGATGCTCGTACGCTCGGCCATGATAGTTGTAGAATCTCAGAAATTTATTCAACTAAAGGCACTACTCATTTTCAACAACTTTAATGGGTGGGTGTGGGTGTGGGTGTGGGTGAATGAAGAAGATAGCCATTTGTCCATACTTCCACTGCCACATTCACACAGATACACCCATACCCTCAAATAAATAAATTTATATTTTAATCTCGTGCTGATTAACATTTTTGTTAAATACAGTTAGGGAGCAAGTGTCACTGGGGAGCAAATGTCCGGGGAGCATTTGCCTGGAGAGCGTCTTGCCGAGATTCAGAAGATATGAAGACGATATAGCTATTGATATTATTGACAAACAATGTTATATAAAATGCTTAGAGATTTTAATTGTTTTGTGATAAGAGTTGGATACTTGATATATTTTTATAAAGATATATTTGATAAAAATTTTCGACTAAATGGAACAAGTGGATATTATATAGATACACAAAAGAGGATCGAAGCTGCTGTTTATTCTTGGCTAATTTATTATCATAGATTATCATAAACATTTATAAAATAAACTTTCGTTGATGAAAGAATGACTATCTTGAAATGATTGAATGTAAAAATTGTTCACTACATATGATAATTTACCCTCTCTCAAACGAAACTTTTAGATCCTAATTTTTGAGATTAGCTACTTTAATCAAATTCAAACTTTGAAACAATATGATTCGATAGGTTATGATCTGCGTATGCACACACAGATCATTAGCATCATCTACCTCGATAGTGCTATCTTTCTTTCTCCTATTGTCCTCCACACATTATTATGTATTTTTTTTTTATCTCATTGGAGATAATTGAATACGAGTATATCTTGAGGGTATTATTGGTTTCAGTTCTTGTTTATTATTGTTAAAGTGTATGTTATCGAACCTGCTAATAAAAAAGTGAAAGTACACATTAACACGACATATTGATACAAAAATTTTCAGTTAAACTATTGGTTTATTACTGAAATTAGATTTAAGAATAAAAGTAAATTGTAATATTTTTATTAGTTTAGTCGACTTAACAAAACTCTTGTATCGAATAGAATAAAAAAAAATGATAATCGGTCATATCTAAATACTCTCAATAAAATTGTAACTGTAAACATTAATTCTGAATAATATACGCGTCATATTTATTAGTTGTTTTTGTCTATGCTTTATTAAGATAATTAAGTATTGTGATGATATCAATATATCTGGTATACGTCATAGTCTTTCTTTCTTTCTATTGTCCATTTATTAGCTTTTCGTTTTCTACTCTTTCTTCTCTCTGCCCTTTTCTCTCTTCTTTGGGTATAAAAGCGTGTGCTATGCATGTAAACAATGTGACGATTTTAGATACAAGAGATGCTTGTATTGATGGAACTACTATTCATTTAGCTTCTTTTTATCATAAATCGCATCATTTATGCATAGAGCACACGTTAATATAACCAATGGACATGAAGAGTGAGAGAGAGAGAGAGAAGAAAGAGTGAAAAAGGAAAGGCTAATAAATTGACAATATGAAGGAAGAAAGAAAGGGAAATAGATGAGTAACGGAAAGAAAAACTATGACGAGATATTGGTTATTCAGAATAATATCTGTATATATGAAAACGTAGAATTATTCTTATTCTAATAGACTATAAATGATTCACAAAATTGCTTCTTTAATTAAAAATACCGATGGCTTACGTTAGAGTTCGACGATTGTTTTTCCATTATGAATATAAAACACTATTTAAAAGAAATATTTGATATTTATATTTTTCTATCTTTAAATACAATCAGTATAAATATATTTGATATTTAAACATTGTTTACTATTTAAAATAAGTATTAGTTCGATTGATGTCATTTTACTTCTTATTTCGTGCACTGAAATTTAAAAACAATCTTTTTAATGATTTCTTTTAAAGCATTGATATTTAATCACAATTAATATTAATTGTAGATTATTGATTTCTATTTTTATTTCTGTACACTGAAAAAAAACTAAGTCTGATATCAGTGTTTAATCTATTTAGTCTATGATAGATAGTCCTTAATATATCATATCATAGTAGACAGCGGTTGCTAATGTGTCTAACAGTATAGCATATACTGGTTTCTAACATTCTGCCTTCGATCTAAGGATGTGGGTGTACACAGTAACATAGAATTCTGTAAAAGAGACAGAATTCTATATTAGTAATATTCATTGCGTCTTAAAGCCATATAGGTATTAATAGTGCAGAATTCTTGTTGTTTGGGTTGTGAGAATTCTGTGACTCCTCGTTCAATCATAGTTACAACAGTTGTTGATCAAGCTCTTTTGATGTCTGTTTTATCTTTCGAATGAATGCATTCAAAGTTTTTACTTTCCAATTATTTTCATTCAGCTTTAATTCAATTAGAGCCCAAGTAGTTTCAATTGGACTAGCTTGAGGTAAGTTTTAAGGTTTATCTTGACGACAAGCGGATAGTATATTTCTCTCGTTTAAACGTTTCTTAACAGTATTTGAACAATGAGAACCTGCCAAATCAGGCCAGAACAGATATATTATTCATCTCGATGGTACTTTTCAATAAAAGAAAGTAGTCTTTTGCACATACATTCATTGAGATATGTCGTTTGGCGGACAGCTTGCTTGCTTCTGTGGGCTTACACATCAATAACATCTTTGGAGGATGTGGCCATCCAAATCATCGTATTCAGTTCAATGTTTTTCCTTTGAAATCCGATGTTTGCAGGAGCTGCAGTTGGATCGGTAGAATAGAAAAATCGATTACCAGTAACATAGTACTCACTCAATTTTAAGTATTTCTCATCATCTAAAATCAGACAAAGTCGTTCAAGAATTTACAGTAGAATTTTCTACAATTTTTTCTTGATCTTTGTTGTCCATTTTTGAAGCTTTCCAACAAATTTTAATAGCAATCGATTCTTCGTCACAGATTACCTGAAATGGTTGACTGATGTACTTGAGAAAATCGAGCCATTTTACAGTGAGTAAGATCAGATTGGATATTTACAGATCTAATGACGCCTTTCAGAGTTTTCTTGAATAATTTCAGCGGAATGCCACTTCGAGGCAGATCTTTCCTGGTTCAATATTTCAAATACTCGTTCAGTCCATAATATATGGTATCGTGTGGGGTATTTTGTTTTTGAAAATAATTTCATGTGGTTTTTACCAATTTATTAGAAGAATCACGATAGAAATTGTAAATGCGTTGTGTGAGTGCTTTTCTTTCGTCACGAGCCATTTTTGTCCTGAGCACATAGTAACAATCAGTCGTATATTATTGCAAACAGGACAGATGGAACTATCAACTGTTTACAAAATTTTCAGTCAAATATGTATATGACCTCCAGAAACAGAGCTTGATATTTCTCCAAAAACTTCTGCTTCGTATGTTAGCATTCGAAAGCATTTTAATAGTGCAAAAAAGGAACTATTAAGACTGCTATACCTTTCTTTCGACTGTTGAATCGTATATAATTATTTTACTGAGCTTTATTCAACTTTATTGTATAGTAATCTTCAAATAATTATGACTCCCTCGTGGCATAGCAAAACAAATATATATGCATACTGTTGATCAAGAAATGATTCACTCACCTCTTAGTATATAACTTAGTTTGGTACATTGTACTCCAGCAAAGTGAGTTCTCTCTTACAAATGCACTTGATGATCAAGACCCTGTCTCTAGTTTTAGAGTTATTGGTTTTAAATCATTTCTTTTACTTCTCTGGCTATTCTATTCCGAAAAAAGTGAGTATATCACGAATTTTCACAACAAAAGATTATTTAACATGAGAAAGGAAAAATGTAACTACTTCTAAAAGAAAAATTAGTGTCTCGGATTTTCCTTGGAATGCACTAGAATATTCGAGAAACTTTTGTTTGTAGCCCCGACCTTACTATAAATACCCACAGATTTTCTTGAGAGATGAACTTAGCTGAAATAGAACAAAAAAAAAGAGCACATGATCTTCAAACCTTTGTAGTGGATATTTCCAAAATGATGATTCTCAACGCTACTTCACTCGAAAAGCATTATTTTCACGAGAAAAAGTACAAGATATTATAAATAAAATATATTTATATGAAATGTATTGGTAATTTGTTTTGACGAGGTGAAAAAAGGAAAATAACCGTGGCAAAGAATCGATTGATTCAACATATACTCAAATCGACTCGACAGTAATCCATTCGTAGCGTGGAAGTTTAGAGGGAAAACCTACTAGCAATACCGTTAAGTACTGAAGCAATTCGCCAATGAGTCAAAAAATTTCGTTTATTTGGGGGAGGGGGTAGCAAGAAAGAAATGATATGCCAATCAAGTACACCGAGGGAAGCGTTTGAAGTACGCAATCCCAGATGGACGATTACGGACTTTGCATACGTCCTCTACACTATCGTATACAAATTCTGTATACCAGGGCTGAAAACGGCCAGTTTAGTTTTCTCCATATAATACACGAAGATATAAATGCTAAGGTTTATTGGATTTCATCTAAGGAAGAAGAGAAAAGTACTTCCGTAACGTCTTTTGTTCCCCACTGATGTATGATTAGCAACACACAAATATTTTTGCACTCGCTCACATTGACATTTATAGCATCATTGATACCCTATATCATAAGCACATTATTGATTATTATCAA